TTTCCCTAGTACTCATAACTGGATGAAGGACTCATCATCATAGCTCAGCACTACAAGTAAAACATCAAGAAAGACTATGAAATGGAGTGTATGTTACTATGTAATTTCAGCTGCTGTGGTATGTTTGTGTTTGAGTCTACCCCTTCTTCACTTGGGGAGAAAGTAATGAAATTCATTACATGGCACAGATATTTATCTGCCAACTGCACACAAAAATGCAAGACACCTATCCCAGGCTGATGACAGATTTTGCCATCAGTCACACATAGTTCTTTTAATTTTGTTTTCACTATATTATCTTTGAAGACTGGATATTCTTAATGCTAAAAAGTGAGATTGGTTCCAATCAAATAATAAAAAAATAATTGGGAGTATATCTGTCACAGAAAAGAAGATACAGAATATTGGATCCAAAGAAAGATACTGGAGTTCTTACTTAAATTTTAAAAATCCAGGTGTTCAGCAATGGGGTGAATGCTCATCATTAGAAGTACTATGCTGCCAGTGGAGAAAAAATGAATTCGTAATATTGGTTTTTTTTGTTTAGGAATCCTTATTCTGAGAGCATAAAAGAGATGTTGACAACTTTTGGTACAGCAACATACAAAGTAGGCTTGAAAGTTCATCCAAATGAAGAAGATCCACGTGTACCTATAATGTGCTGGGGAAGCTGTGCTTACACGATACAGACTATAGGTACTAATGTCTTCATTTTGCTCCTTTACACGTGAATTTCTGAATTTAGTTAAATTCACAGCATTGAAATATTTTGGGGTTTTGTTTTTTTTCCAGAACGAATTTTAGCTGATGAAGATAAACCATTATTTGGTCATTTACCTTGTCGACAGGTAAGGATCAAGTAGCAATTCCTCTCTGAATCGGGGGAAGAAGAGGGAATTGTGCTGCTTCAGCGCATAATATCTAAAGTTACAGTTATTTGATAGTTTTATTTGTTCAATCCCACTGTGCAGTCAATCAGTATGTGATTACTAATCTACGTAAAAATCAAATCTAGCAAAACTATTATGTGGGGTTTTTTCTATAAATGAATAGTTTAGTAAGGCCAGGGTTTCTCATGGCAACAGTCAAAATAATACTGAAGGGAACTTGTATATTTGCATAAACATAAATATCTTTGTCATGTGCTCACGCACTCCAACTGCTCCCATAAAGTGCATCTGAGGGTCTGAAAAGAGTGCTGTAGGTCAAAAGACTTTGTCATATTGAGGAACTCTTAACTGTGGCAGTGTCTTTTTCTTTGTTTTTAAAGGATGACTGTCTTACATCATTAACAAGGTTTGCAGCAGCTCACTGGACAGTGTCATCTCTCTCAGCAGTACAGGGTCACTTTTGTACTCTCTTAGCATGTAAGTTCACCACCTTATTCTGTTTTTTTACAAAGATACAGATATAGAAAGATGCTTACAAGAAGATTGCTTTATGTAGTGGTTTTAAGTAATAGACCAAGAGCTGATATTTTCACATGTGTACCTATACATATTTTCTCGTACTGTGGAAAAAAGACATTTGTTTTCGTCTGCAGTTCCAAGATAGATTTCAAGAGAAGCACTGATGTTTTGCTGTGAAGGAGTTCTGTTGATTCTTCCCAGCATTTATATTGCTGCTTTTAGAAAGGTACCTAGAGCAAAGGAGACAGAAGTGTGGTCCTTCACAAAAGAAAAGTGATACGCTGGAAATTTAAAGAGGAGGAAATTAATCTTAATACCGCATTGGAAGGAAATAGGAGATTTTCAGAGGTCTGTAATATATCTGCAAACTTCTCTGCCTTTGAAAAGTAGGATCTGTGGTAAGACAGGAATTATTATGTGATGTGATGTATTAGTTGAGGATTTTAATGAGAACAGCCAAAATGTTCCAAGCTTGAAGCATTTGTAGATACAGGTAAAAAGTCTGAAGTTCAGCCTAATGCAGTAGTTACCCATGAGGGGACTATTCTGAAAGGGTGTTATAAAATGGGATAATTTTAATACCTACAGTCAGTAGAGCAGGGAAACTTTTAAAATGCATTCATATATTGAAATTACTAGTAGAATTGATACTGCCTACTTCAGCAAACAGTTGGCAGCTTTGTGGGGAGGAACTTAATTGACATCAGCTTGTAGCAGTAATGGTTGAGCCATTTTCTACGTGAAGCAGAAGAGAAAATGTTGCTAGCTATTTGACTGGAACTTTGTAGTATATGGTGTTCTGCGTGCTTTGGGGTTTCTTGAAAACTTGACTCGCTGTTTCTTCAAAGCTTTTCCCTCCAGCTGACAGAAGCAACTGTACTGCTTTTATTTTTATGAAGGAAAAGTGTTTGCTATTTTTCAAGGCAAGGAAACTTATTAGCCTTTGATCTGTCAGTATTTTATGAACTATTTATACATAGAGATAACTTACTGAATAAAAATTTGGTTTTGGAAGTCCCTTGGTCTGGTCACATTTTTGATAGAAGCATTTTTCAGACTTTTGGGTTGAGTTCTGTGGCTGTATGCTTACAAAAGTAAAAGCATTTGAAATCTGAATGGTGGGGAAATGTTTGCTAATAGAAATAATTTCAAAATGTCACAGATCTTTAGCTGTTAATTTTCTGACCAGCAAGGCAGCAGTCTTCAACTGAAGTATTTAAGTTGTTATGAGGAGACCGTTTTTACTGTAGTAGTGTTTTTAAAATTGGCATCTTAATGCTTTTAGCTACATTGTAAAACTAATCTCATAGCTGCAGTTTGAACTCTTACTGTAAATCAGATCTCACTGCTTGGAGTAAAGTTTGCAACTGTTCCTTGATTGTTGTTTTAAATACATTGTAACATTTTCAAAACACTTTCTGTTTGCTTTTAGATGGAGTTTACTTCATTAGTTGGAATGTATTAAGTGTGTGAATTTCAGTTTTCAGCTGGACTGCTTTGGTTAATGCTTTGTGGTTACTGTGAATGTGAATATTACAGAGAGGAGAGACCAATGCCAGCTCTTTCTTAATTAGGGATAAAATAATGAATTTAAGAGACTCTTTAGCAATGCATTTTTGAGTCCCTAAGACAAGTGAGTTACGTGAGGCAAATTTAGGGAACCTTATAAAGAGAGCTAAGTGAATTGCAGAAATTTCCTTTGAACTGCTGTCCAACAGACAACAATTAATGTTTCTGTTTAGCCACTGGTGTTTGAGCTTATTTCTGGGTGAGAGCTGGAGACACTGTCTCATCTCGCACTGGAAACCTGAGCAATGAAAGACAATCACGATAGAAGTAGTGAATGGCAGCCCTTACTTTATAGTTATTTTGGGTTTGTTTCATTTTCAGTACAGTATAGTCAAGTAGGCAAGAGTCTTTCCAATAGTGTTGAACATTTGGCCAGAAAGGTGTGAATTCAAGAAAACAGGTACATTTGTATTTTAAGTACTTTAAGCATATAAACCAAGGAGATGTGTCTCATTTTGTACCTGAAGTATGCTAAAATCTTTTCATATATAAGTGTTCAATTAATAAATTTATTTTTCTCTCTGAAATACTCAGCACTGGTGCCTAATGAAAAAAATGGAAATCTTCCTTGCATACTTGATATTGACATGTTTCATTTATTGGTAAGTATTCCATAATACATATTAATAATATTTTGATCCAGTAGACACTATGTCAAAACTTCATTGGAAACTTTGTTTACTCTAGGTTAGGAACCTTTTAAAAACGTTTAGTTTTTTTAATCTTTTCACTACTTAATGCAATTTAAAGGCTTTTTTCGTTGCAAGTATTCTTATCTATAAATAAAAGGGGGTGAAATGAGGCAGAATGTATACGCTTTGAATGTTAAACCCCCAAAACAAATGCCCCCAACAAACAACAAAAAAAATCCCAAACAAACAGACCCCAAATAAAATCTGATAGTTAATCATTGTTCCCTTAAATAATGGCTGGCTAATTAGCTGAAAAATTAGCCTTATGAGGTATGTTGCCTTCAAAGGGTATAGTTGCAGCATGAACAGAGAAAATGGGGAAATTCAAAAAGAAAAGGAATATACAAGCTTTCTTGTTTTCTTTTTCAGGTAAGCTGGGTGCTCTCTTCCCCTGCCATACATTGTCAGGATTTTTCAGGGGTTAGTCTTGGCACTGGAGATCTTCACCTGTTTCATCTTGTCACTATGGCACACGTAATACAAATTTTACTTACCTCATCAACAGGTAATGCTTCTTTCTTTCAACTTCAATTGAAATGATTCCTCAAATCTGTACTTGGAAAACACTATGGGGCTATTGGTAAATGTATGCAGTTTACAGTTGCAAATTGAAATTGCTGGTGCGCTCTCTTTCAGCCCATAGAAAGTACTGATAAATGGTACTCATGAAAGTCCAGTCTTTTGTCTTTATTGCTTAACTCCGGAGGTTTTTTGGAGCATAGCTAGTCATGAATCCTAGCTTTTCAGCTAATGTAGCAGTGCCTGGAAGTGTTTATGGGAGAGACTTGGCTTAGGCATCGCACCATGAATAAGTTGCAGTTAGCAAAGTAAGAAATTAATGTATCTTCTGGCAAGGGGAACTGGATAAGGTGTAGTATGCCAAAAGCCAAGAACTCCAAGCAAATACGTTAAGAAACCCAACCAATCGAACAAGTAAACCAACACCTTGCTGGAGATGACAATAGCATAAACTTAAAACATAAGATGTGCAGCAGAAACCTTTTTTTCCAGTACAGTGTATTGCATTTGTACTATTGTAGTACAGTGGAATGTTTCACTTAGTTTTGGCCTTTTTCTCAAAACTTGAAAAATTACATTCTTGCTGTGTAAACATGTACATATGAAGTAACTTGCTCTTTATTTCTTTCCTCTTCAGAAGAGAATGGCATGGATCAAGAAAACACTAACAGTGAAGAGGAAGTAGCTGTGCTTACACTGTATAAATTTCTTTGCCAGTGTACAGGAAGGTAAAAGGGCAATCTTTTGATAAAATATATAATATTTTCTTCCTCTTGGACTCAACGTTAACTACACCCTGAATTCTATTTACTAATGCTGTCAAAGATGAGGCTTTTAACTTGGAAACTCTTGCCTGTTGTTTCTTATCCACTACTTCTAGATACCATTTTCAAATAACTATTCCTATAAATTTCTCTGTGCTCGTGAAGATACCTCCTCATGAAGTTTACGCTCTGGAACAGTCTTTTTTAGTCAGTTTGCAGATGTGTAGAATATGGAATTGGCAGTGTCTGAGTACAGAAAACTTTGTAGGATCTGCAATGTTTATGCAAAATTTTCCTTAATTTACTGTCCCAGTTGGTTACATTTTTATGAATCTCTATTTCGGAGTTTTTCTTGGAATTAGCTTTGAAATAAACATTTTGCATAATGCTTGTTTCAACTGAGGTCAGTAATTTAATATGCAGTATGACTGAAGACTTACTAAATGCAGCTCTCAGACTGAAATGGTTAAATAAAAGCAAACTTTTTTTATTGCGCTCTCTTAAGTGCCTTGAAAGAAATTTCCTCAGGCTGGCACCTGTGGAGGAATCTAAAAGCTGGAATCATGCCTTTCCTGAGATGTTCTGCTTTGTTTTTCCATTACTTAAATGGAGTCCCAGCGCCTGCAGAAATTCAAGGTACTGTCTGCTTTGTATTAAATCAGCTTTTCAAAAGATACAAACATTTATGGACAAAATAAATTTACACTTAAACTCTCCTTTCTGAAGAAGCTGATGGGATGAATGTGGGTTAGTTACCAGTGCAGAATCATATCTGCATAATGAAAAATGAAAAAAAAAAAAAAATTGTTTCCTTAAAATGGAAACTGATGCTCTTCTGTTAAAAATTGAAATATTATTTCAAATCTATTGATTACGGTTTTCAAATGAGACCTGCTTTTCCTTGCATTGATTTCATTCAAATCAGCATCCACCAATAATTAAAATCTCCAAATATACTGATGTTACTTATACCCCAAATAATTGGTGTTATTAACATACATTACTGTCCTCTGCATGTGATGTGTGTAGGAGTTGAATATAAATCTGAAGATATTACTTATAGTAATGATAAGTAGGTTCACACTGCTTCAGGATTCCCACATTTAAAACAACGTATGATATGTGGTGCTGAGCTGACATGAGGACAGCTACAGAACTTGTAGAATGTTACCTTGATATTAACCTTCTTGACAAATTGTGTTTAAAATGTAGATTATTTTCATTTTACAATAGCAATGCTTAAGCATTTGGGGGAGGGGGAAAAAAAAAAAAGAGAAACCTCTACTTGTGAACTTTGATTTTCTGTAACAAGTTTTCTCAAATTCATAGTCTGGACCAGAAGTGACCGCTGGAGTTCTTTGTTACAGGTGCTCTAAAGATGAGGTGCAAAGTGCAGCTGTACTTCCAGAGAGTAGTTCCATGGGCCTCTAGTGAGTTGGTTGTAGGAGAGTGGAAGAGGAAGGCTTTGCTTCGCTTTGTTACAATCCTCACATCCCAGGTGCTTGGATGGCCCTGCAGGTCCCCGCCACCGAGGGATGTGCCGACGGTGGCTGTAGCACTGGGGTGTTGCTTTCCCTGCGCACTCCCGGGCCCCTGGACCCACTGATCCCACAGCTGGCCTGTATCGCTCTTCTCTAGCGTTTTATTGGGGATTGCGAACGGGAATCCCTTGGCCCTGAGAGGGAAATCAGCACAGATTTCATCTTCATTTTCTTTGCTCCTTTATTCAGGAGCAAAAGAGGCCGTGTCATGGAAGAAGTAGTAGTAGTACTCTTTGTACTGAAAGTTAGGAGGGCAGGGGCCCAGGGACTCAAACCAATTAAGTAATATCGTGAATATGGCAATGTGCCCTACATAATATTTTTGAAGAGTTTAGCATCACAGGCATGTGGAATTTCTGTATTTCTGAGGCTGTGCTACACTTCACTGGTATACTGTCACTGATTCCCTGCCTCGGATTGTGTCATGGGCTACAAGGAGCATAAAGCAGCCATTTAATGGATGACATTAAAACGAAGACCCTTGAGAGCTCTGAGATTATGTGACCAAGCTTGAAATGTGCTTAGAGGAGAAGCTTGAGGAAAGTTGCTTCTTGTTACTGGCAGTTTTCCAACACAGCTGTCTGGTGCCTTTACTAGCACTTTCATACTTCATACCACATTTTGGGTGTGGGGGAAAACGTTTATTGTAGTTTCTGTAATTTAAAAAAATGCAATTATGAGAATTATACTTTTTTTTTTTGCAGTAAATGGAACAAACCAGTTTGAACACTTATGTAGCTATCTTTCTTTGCCAAACAACCTCACTTGCCTTTTTCAAGAAAACAGTGAGATTCTGAACACGTTAATAGAAAGGTAAGTCATGTTTTTATACTTAATTTAAATATAATAAGGAATTCTGCACAGGATAATACTACTAGTATTCTCCCAGGAGTACATCTATGGAAATGAATAGTAGACTTTGAAAAGCATTTGTGAATGAAGTGTTTTGAAAGAAATAACTTTGGTTGTAGAGATTATTGAATAGATGTGCTTTGGAATTTTTACTTGTTTGTTTTTGGAAAGTATCATCCACTGAAGTTAAAAGCCAATGTTTTTTCTTTCTTGTAGTTGGTGTAGTAACAATGAAGTAAAAAGATATCTCGAAGGCAAGAGACATGCTATCAGGTAAATGTGGAGAAGTTTTAAGCAGACATGGAGAAGCTTTAATGTTGCAGTTTTCTCCAAAGATTTTTTCTGAAGGGTGTTTATAATAATATAGTATCAGTTCTGCTTTATTAAATGACAAAGATATTAGGGGATAAGCAAAGAGATTTTTGGAATACTGTAAGAAAAGTGAAATATTGCTTAAATTAGTAGATTTTAAAGGCAAAGTTAAATATTACAGTTTTATTTAGACTGATCTGCAGCAATCAGAGGCCATAACACTTCTCATGTTTCCTATAGTTAGATTTGTACTTTCTGATTCAAAAGGTATGCTGTTGCTAAAAGACGTACGTAAACTTTGTTTAAAAATACCAGGCATCGAAGAGCTTTTTAAACAATCCAAATTCTTCACTGAAATCAACGCCAAGTCAGTTGCTAAAAAGAAAATTTGCTTTCCATACATTTCTACTTCCTAAGTAATTATTTTGAATTCAGAATATATTTAATGCTTAGCAGGTGTAGAAAAGCATTTGAGGTGTTTTTCTTTATGAAGGCTGGGTAAAAATAGTGGCTATCAATTATTCAAATAATTATAAATGAATCTGAGGTTCACAGTGCTGTCATTAAAAATAGATCTCTGCATTTTAATCTCCTATGCTAAATACATAAAGTCAGTCTTTCAACATTGGACATACAATAAGGCTAAGGGATAGAAATAAAAATTAAACACTTCATCTGTTAAATACCAGGCTATTAACAGAATATCTTATACAGTAAAAATACTCTGATTGTGTAATTGAATTCCTGTTATGTGTGATTGTGGGGATTTTTTTCTGTGTGTTCCTTTTGCTGATTCTTAACTGCTCTTCCCAAGATTGTGTCTAACTTGACAGTGATTTTTTGGTTTGTTTTCCTCTCAGCATGTTCTTGTACATTGCTTCTGTTACAAACCTCTATTTACATTTCACAGTCTAATTTGTATTATTCCTAGGGTTGAAGATTATTAAAATTTAGTGTATAGCATCTGGAAAAAAATCACCAACTTTTAACTGTTACTTCTAAAGATACAAATGTTTGTTATTAAATAGGTCCTTTTCATTGCATGAATACTTCATTCTCTTCAGAATACACATTCTCTGAACTTGAGTGTCAGACTATTTTCTAGTCAATATTAGTGACAAAAAGAAAATACAAAGCAAACTGATAAGGGAGCACAACAACTATTCAGTTAAGCCTGTAGTGACCTCATTGTGAGGCTTTGGTAAAAGCAGACACAGACATGTACTTCTCTGACTTTCTGCCTGTGTGTTTTCTCAAATTCACAAAAAATATAACTGAGAAAACTGGAGGTGGTCTAGCTGAGAGATGCTGGGGGTTCTTTTTTATGTGCTGCCATTTGACACTCTGAATGGCAGAGAAGAGGAAAACTTTAAAAATTATTCACAGATGCTGTTTAGATGAGTCAGGAGAACATGAATGAGTTTGAAATCACTGTTATTATTCATTGAAACATGAGTGGTTAATTTGATTGCTTTATTCTAGCTATGCAAGAGAATCCAATAAATTAATAGACCTTCCGGACGACTACAGCTGCCTCATTAACCAAGCATCCAATTTTTCGTAAGTTGTACGCAATTATAGCGAGGACCTCTAAAATCTTCTGCTCCTTTTGATGAACCTTTAACCTGAAAGCCTCAGAAAAATGTTTGTAGAATCATAAAGTTAATGGCACATATTGATTGCCGTCTATTCCAGCAAAAATCCTCGGGTATTTTAGTGAAATAGAAATTGGAGGGGATCCGTATAACTGTTAACCATATAAATGTTTAAAAGTACTTTTAAGTCTTTTTGCCATCTAGAATTAATACATATAATGGATTATGGTTTTTTTGCTTAACAAAAGGTGTCCGAAATCAGGTGGTGATAAAAGCAGAGCCCCAACATTGTGCCTTGTGTGTGGGACCATGCTATGTTCTCAGAGTTACTGTTGTCAGACTGAATTAGAAGGAGAAGATGTTGGAGCCTGTACTGCACATACATACGCGTGTGGTTCTGGAGTGGGCATATTCCTTAGGTAAGGAACTCAACACCTCTACTTACATTGCTAGGTTACACGGTGCGTGTGGATGTGAAATGAATAGTTCTATAAATGTGATTGTAGGGGTGGCTTGTAAAGGCAGTGGTTTGCTAATAACAGGGTTGCCTAAAAACTAGAGCGTATTCATCTTCCTTATACTTTGGTATAAGGTTCACAGGTTGTTTCCTTGAAGATAAAGTATCGTCCAAAATTGGAATTTCATTTTAAAGTGAATTTGTTTTCTCTGTGTGTTAATTTCCACTCAAGTATTACAAAACAATGAAGTTAAATACCTTGATTTTGTTGTTGCTATTGAAAATGTGAACGTTCATTTTAGTTGGTTTCCTGCGTACAAGGAAAGATTAGATACTGTCTCATGTCTTTCACTATGGCAAAGATTAGTGAGAAGTGAAATTGTTTTATGTTCTTGTTGTGGTTGTGTCACGTATTTACACAGATTGCAAATAATATGACATGAAACTACATTGTTTCTAACTGCTACCGAGGAGTTATAACAGGAAGAGAATAAGATCTTCAATTTCAAAAAACAAAAGTAACTTTAAAAATCTGTACATGCAGATTACACAGAGTGAGGTAAGAATTGGAAAAGCAGTGTCTATGAAAATACGAGAAACTATTCACCTAAAATCTTCTGTGTGTTTCCCTCTAGAGTACGAGAATGTCAGGTGCTATTTTTAGCTGGAAAAACAAAGGGCTGCTTTTATCCTCCTCCTTATCTCGATGACTATGGAGAGACAGACCAGGGACTCAGGTAAATATTTTTTAAAAAAATCTGTCTTATAAGACAGGAATTCTTAAACTATCTGGTTTGTAAAATACACTTTCTGTGTTACCTTTTTATTTTAATTATATAGGTAATACTATATTTTGACATGACCGTTCCATCTAATGTCTTCAGACATTTTAATGCTAATATGTGGGTTTAGGTTAAAAATATTTAATGGAAGATCTGTCCCAGGTTATAAACAGTTGTCTTGAGGTGTAAAAATTTAAATCTTTTTAGCATCTGTGAAGTTGCCTAGAAACTAGGGCTAAAAATCTTATTTGTATATAGTGTATTTATTTGTATAATCTGTGTTAACTTAATACCAAGTGAAAATACTATGAGATGATTTTATTTGATTTGGTAGTTGTTTGTCTTAACTCCAGTCTCTACTTCCTGTGAGAATGGTTTGGGGACTCAGTATTGTTAAATCTTGCTACTTCTGAAACTGGTTAAAACCAAAGAATATGAGCTGCTTCAGCATCAAAAGATGCTGAAAACTGACATTTAGACTTGGGTGGGCTGTGCAGGAGATTCCCAAAGGCTGGGGGGAACTGTTGAGCAGTAAGGGTGGGAGACCAGACAGGGTCGCACTCCACTTTACTAATCAAATTATCTGTTGATTTTTTTTCTGACAAAACTACTGTTAAATGGTTATCTAAATATTTTAATATTTTAAGGAGTTATCCAATATTTACTATGTGACATCTGAGTGTTTGTGCTTAGTTGCAGTGTTTAATCATTCCTGATACATATTCTCTCCTTTTCAGACGCGGGAATCCCTTACATCTGTGCAAAGAACGATTTAAAAAGATTCAAAAACTCTGGCAGCAGCACAGTATCACAGAGGAAATTGGACATGCACAAGAAGCAAATCAAACACTAGTTGGGATTGATTGGCAGCATTTATAATGGTTGTCTGCTGAAGACTGGAACTTTATTAAGATTTTTGTAACTCAGTAAGCTTTTCAAAGGGAGGGATTAGGAAAAAAAAGTCTGAGGAAAAAAAAACCCCAAACCCAGTCCTGTTATTTAATCTTTGTTTTACAATGTATTTCATAAAGATACCAGTTAACATTAATCAAGTAAACTTATTTCTATGTAAGCAAGTTTTATTAGTCATATAATTTGCACTGTGCTTCCCTCACAGAAATGTCTTGGGTTATAAACCTGGGCAAATGAACTTGAGTTTCTGATAAAAAAAAAAAAAAGAATGACTCTTTTTGGAAGTCTGACTATGATTTTTCTTATAAACTGCAAGAGAAAAAGACTGCTGAAACAGAAACTAGATAGAGCACAATTATGGATTGTGTTTTGCCCCTTGCTAGTAATCTGAGCCGTTTTATTTATTATTCTGCATTTTAATACTTAAGCTGTGTGTACATGCAATGGAATGAAGTAAGGAAGCAAATAATGTAGCAAATGGATGTTTCTGTCTGCATCAGTGGATAATTCACTCTTTCACTTGGTGTATCTAAAATGATTTTGTCATTTGTACTCTTGCAGCTTTCTTGCTTCCAGTTGTTTTTTAACTAAAAAAACCCTAACACTAGCTTTACAAGTAAAATAATTTAATTTAAAGCTTTTTCCAGAGCATTGCACTCCTTAGAATTATGTAGTTTGTAACTTGAGTTTAGCTGGGAAACCCTTTCACTCTCAATTATGTGATTGGTTATTGATATTCAAGGGTTGACATTGTGCTTTAGAAGATATTTTAAGATAAGAACAATACATAAAATGTCATGAAAGCTACTTTTAATTTGCAGAAGCACAGAGGATGTTTTCTTCATTTTTGGTAACAGTCAACTTTTAAGGTGCAAATCCCATCTCCTTTTTGTTGCAGACAAACTGAATGGTTTCCTCTGGCTTTGAAGGGCCACAATCACACTGCCCACATTTTTACATCGATTTTTTTTTTCCCCCCTGTTGTCCCATCAAGTATATTTACTTTTTGGCTTGATTTAAAGCTCTGTAAAGATGTTTGCATATAGTATATTTTATAAATATATTCTATAACTGCGCAGATTTGCACTTGATATGAGGGTGCCTGAAGGCAGTGAGTTTTCTAGCTGTATGTAATTAGACCGCCAAGGTGTCTCTAAAAACTGACATTATGCTTATTGATTTAAAGTAAAATCCACCACCTTTCTCTCTTCTATCTTCTGACAAATTAGTAAAATCTTAATTTACATAGTTCTGTTTCTTTAATAATCTGTGGTTCTTTCAGTTAAGTCTTACTTTCCGACTATGTCTTCAGCCCAGATAAGCAATCCCTTTACTGTCTGCCATGTCTTCAGTTACACTTGGTCTGACTGAATTGTTTCTATTTTTACAGATTTAATGCTTCAGATAAATTTTGTATATTCATGGTGTACAGGACAATTTTTCAAACATTCAGTTACAGTATTGAGTGAAGATGTGAAATATGAAATAAAGAAACTTGGCCAATGTTGATTTCCTTTTCTTAAAAACAGTACAGACTACTCTTATCTCTACTATCTGTTGTAGTTCCAATAATTTATATATTGCTGTCACTTTTTACAGGGACATGCAGAAGTTACAGGAAGAAGTTACATTAGACCTTCATCTCTGCCTTCCCCTACTTAAGCTGGCTGGTATATCAACAATTTTCTGTGCATGGTACTTGAAAACCACACTTTTTTGGTGATGTTACTATTCCTTTGCAGAGAGTCTTACATCTTAAGCTGTGTGCCACAGTTTCAAATAATGTGTACTGCACTGACAGACTCTCTTTTCCTGTAAGCATAATATTAAAAAGCTGATTGATGATACTGAGAGATTTCTCTGTGCGAAGCAAAATATTGACAGCAAGAAGGTTTTTTTTTTTCTCTCTGGGATCAGAGTTGGAGACTGCAAGGTTGAATAGGTTGGTAAAATTATGACCACAAGTAATTGCAAAGTACACAATTTATCATTTTTTGCAAGTTTAGTCATTCTTTACTCAAGACTTCTATTTTCTGATTTGGTTTGCCTGTATTTATATTAATGTAGAAATATTTATATATATAAAACATTGTTTCAGTATCAGGGAAATAATATCTGTAATAAATCTGCTATAACTTTAATATTTGCGGATTACGTGTACAATCTACAATGTTGTTACGTGTTTGGGGGGAGAAAAAACCAACAAAAAAACCCCCACAAAATCCCCAAACCAGAAACTATCACACCAGCAAACAAAACAAAGCTGAAAGCATCAAGTAAATCCTTTTGGTGTTGACATTAAATAAGTACTTTTTAAACATTGCTTTTAGAATTGTGCTGAGCTTGTTCCTTCAAGTGTGTCACCTTGTTAATCACAAGCTAACAGAAATACCTGGATGTGCAACACCTGCAATTCCCTGGCTAAAAATGTAAGGTGATTATATTATTAGTGTCATTTGCTTCAGTCAGCTAAACCTTTCTTGACCTCTACCAAAAAGTCTAATCGTCTTTTGAAAGGATTGTAAATTATATTTTGTAAAGGGATGAGGGTTGAGGTTCACATCGGTCATGTTTTTTACTCTGCTCACACTTCAAGATAACACTTTGTGCTCTCTCCAGTCTGCCGTAGGAGGCTCTCTCTTACCCTATGAGTGTGGTCTTCTGTCCTTTTACTTTTGATGCGAAGCCTTACCAGCTCTCAGGCTCCAGCCCTGGCACAAAATCCCACCTGTTTTCCTTTCTGGAAGTTTAAATAGCATGAGGGGACTTGCATCTCAAATCTCTTCTCAGCAGAGTCCTGTTGTGATGCAACCGAGTACGCAGTCTGCCTCCCCTCTGCCCTGGACCCCTCTGCTCCTTTCTGGGAATCGCCTTTGCCAAGCAGTAGTGGCTTGGTATTTCCATCCCACTGTTGCGATTGTTGATTATTGAGTTGAATATGACAGCATTCAACTGTTTTGGCTTGAATATGAGCCCCTGGGGAAGGCCACTTCTAACTGGTTCATTGCTGGCCTCTGAGCCTGAAAATCCAGGCAGGTTTCTGTGCACCTTGCTGTCTAGTCTGCATCTCCCTAAACTGGTTACGAGGCTGTTTGTCTGAAATCCCACTGGGAGGTTTTCTAACAACAGACATTTGCTGCACAGAAAAAGGGGTTTTACAGCAACTTTCATTTACTAAGAAGCAAAGAGAAACAGGCCTTTAAACTAACCCGAGTTGAATGGTTTTGTGTGTGACCAGGACAGGGATGCTATCTCTGATAATAGCAAGAGAGATTGGAGTGATCTTTGTGGGGCTTCCATGGGTCTTCTCATCTTCATATTTCCATATTGCCATTTGCTCTGCTTTTGGTGAGCCAGGACTGTCACTGGCCAATCCTGCATCTTAGTGGGAATGGGATGGTGCTCGTTATATCTTAGCTGGTACTAAAGGAAAACTCTCTTAGGGAGGCATCTGCCATTAGCTCTTCCGTTCCTCAGCTCCTCGTGGTGAGCATCCCAGTGTCCTGCTTGATCCTGTATGCAGCAGGTTGGAGACTTCCTGGGAACAAGGCTGGATGCAGTTATTTCCAAGGCTTGCCTTCCGCAGAAATGCTTCCAGGCGCCCGAGGAGTAAGGACAGCCAGGGAGCCTGCCAACCACACCTCTGTGTACATAGCCAACATGTCACCATCCAGCTGTCTGCTTTCTCTGGATAACTGGTTCAGGTTGTATGGTACTGCTTCAACATAACCTCAGCAGAAAGGCATGGGGACAGAGACACAGAAAGGTTGCTTACGGGTGATGGGAAGTCTTATAGACAAGTTGTCTTTAAGAAAATGTCTCTCCTTATTGTGAAGTCTAGGTTTTGGTGGGTTTTTTTTATTATTATGGGATTCGAATGTTTAGAAGAACAGGAAGGACTAGAGTTGGTTTCTCCTTTTGGGCTACGTTCAAGAAACGGCAGGAAGAGTCCCACAGTAAGAACGTTGCGAACAGGTATTGCTGAGGTCAAAAATCCTCCATCATTTCAGTGCCTGATGAAAGTCAGGGGGCGGGGGGGTAGCACATCTTAATCTCCAGTTGTTGATAACTTCTAGTTACCAGTAAGTGGCTTCAGCTCGTTGGAGTGTTGTTTCTTGGTTTGGGGAACCAGCAGGGACTGGTTGAAGGACGTTGCTATCAGCCTGGGATAGCTGAGTAGAGTCGCCTGCTTGGCTGCTGGGGCTGCGGGGAGAGCACGTGCCGCAGGCAGCTCTGGAGCATGGAGACGTGTCCAGAAGGTGCTGGAGCCTCCCTGCCTCTCCTTGCTGCCAGCCAGCAGTGCCCATGCAGTTTAGGGGTTCCAGAAGAGGGAGAAGGGGGTTTATTATTTTCTTTCTTTTATTCCAAGGCTAATAATGGTCAGGAGAAATAGCAGTTCCTGGTTCTGCTCTAGAAGAGTCATCTCAGTGTCCAATTGCTAAGAGGTGTGACTTGTGTAACTGTATTGAGCCATTTTGTCAATATTATTATTTTTACTTCTACTGACTGATACAAATTTTGTTAAATGTGTTACAGGCTGATGCAGGAACATAAGCGACAGTAAAATAGGTCAGTCGTTTACAAAGCAGGGCCTTGTGCTTGGGACCCAGCGGATGTGTGGCCTATCCCTCCGATGGCGGAGGGAGTTTTTCGGGGCTGTTCAGCAGACCTTGGCACCAGCTGCCCCTACGCAATGGCCACGTATTTATGGTGATAGGTCGAAGCCTCACACTAAAACATCCTCTTGCTTCAGCTTGACACCTTATGGGAGGGCACGGTGATTTCATATTTAAGTTCAGTGTATCTTCCTGTACACTTGTGCAGGCACCGAGACATGTGTGTTCAAGTGTTCTGGCCAGGACCATGCCGCAGAGGACAGGAGCGGTGGCCACTGCGTCCTCCCTACGTGCCCCTCGGTTGGTGACGGCACCCTGGCTTTTGGAGGGGGTTTTTTATACCCATTGGGATTCAGCAGTAAGTGTGGTGTCGTGTTTTGTCTCAGTATCCTGCTGCTTCTGCCACCTTTCCTCTCTCCTGGCATGCAAACATTAGATGCCCAAATCTATCTTTATGCCTTGACAGAGAGATTTGTCAAACACTCCCTACGTGCCCCTCGGTTGGTGACGGCACCCTGGCTTTTGGAGGGGGTTTTTTATACCCATTGGGATTCAGCAGTAAGTGTGGTGTCGTGTTTTGTCTCAGTATCCTGCTGCTTCTGCCACCTTTCCTCTCTCCTGGCATGCAAACATTAGATGCCCAAATCTGTCTTTATGCCTTGACGGAGAGATTTGTCAAACACTCTTCTCTTGGAGAAAAAAGAAGAGGGAGAGCACGAGGAGTTTCTGCAGTGTGCCAGGTGTAGGAGCCAAGAAGTGGCAAGTACTGATCTTTATCTCCATGACAGCAATGATTAAATGTTACTTTTTCATCAGTTTGTGAATATATATATTTTCAGAGTCTCTTTCCAGATGGCATGAGCTCGGAGGTGGTAAGTTTTCCAGCTCGTTTGCGTAGGATCCTGAAAGGAAAG